AGGAATAGGTTAGCGGTGGGTCCCGCCACTATCTCATTTTCTTTTTGCTTTAATTTTTACACTACATACACACATAAGTGCACCGCATGCAAATACTACTTAATTCACATAATTTAAAATGTACACAATGCAAACGAACCCAACCACAATTCCGTACACATAACGTGAAAAGTGGAGAATGCCCTTGGGGCGACAAAATTCCAGAAAAAAAAGAAAAAATAAAAATGGTGAAAATCGGAAACGTCACACCATCATGTATTCTTACGAGTGAGAGGACTTCTGTAGCGCTTTTCCTTTGCTTCCCTAAAGATTACTGCGTAAAAAAAAGGTAATAAAAAGATAAGTGATAAGATTGTGATAAGATTGCGATCTTATCTTTTAGGGTATTTGGGCCTATATTTTTCAATAGAATAATGGGCCTCAAAATATATTATTATTTTATTGCCGTTTTCGTGTTCTGTTTTTCTAAAATTTATCATATCGCCGTATCCGTGTCGTATCATACCCGTGTCCGTGCTTCATAGATATACACACATCTCATATGCTGCCTTAGTCACCATATATATATATATAATTATTAGAAATAAGACGTGAAAGAATAAGAGAATTATTTATATTGAGAATTATTAATATTAGAGTATGTCACAAGAATTTGTACAAAGAACTTTTTTATAAGTTAAGAAAAGTAATACAACAAAAAAAGTGGTAGGTGGATGCAATATAAGGAAGGTGATAGGTGGGTACAATACAAGAAATGTATCTAGTCCTGTAGTGTGTATAAATATAACATGTATATAATATGAAAATATTTATTTACAATATAAATTAACACCCCCTCTCAAACTCAGGTTAAGTAGATACGAACTTGAGTTAGGAAACTAAAGCTCGAGTAAAGTAAATTGGTGAAAATGTCTGCAGCCTAATCAGATGAGATGACTGAGAGAAATTGAACAGTACCACAAAGAATATGTTGACGAACAAAATGACAATCGATCTTTGACAAACAAAATGACAATCAATCTCAATATGTTTAGCACGTTCATTAAGGTCCTATTCACTAACAGGAATGATTCCTAATTTCGACTGTCAATTTTTAAAATTGAGAATCAAAAGTAAAAATCATTGTTTGATAAAAGTAATTTTACTTTTCAACTCCAAGAGAGTACTTTCTCTTTTAATAAAGAAAAGAGAAAGTGACAATTTGATACTTTCTTTATTTTCTCCACTATAGACAGAAATTACTTTCTCCACTGTAGTTCTACTTATCCCACCAAAATTACTGTACTCCCCCTTCTTTCTTCCTCTAACCCATCATCCTCTCCTATCACCAAGACCCATGCCACAACCACTACAAGTTTGGAATCGGGCGATCAGTGATCGGTGACAGAAGGGACACCAGCTCCTCTCTCTTTTTCTCTCTACCACCACAAACTGCTACCAAATGCCGCCGATCATCTATTGAAGACTAAAACCTCTTCGTCCTTTACTGTTGACCCATCATCTCATCACCCCGATTTTTTCCAATTTTAGACAACTATGCCTTAATTTCATTGGATTGCTGGATTGATGTAGGATTTGGACTAACGATTTCATCTATCAAACTCATCTACTTCTCTTTTTTCAACCACATCAACTGCTTGTTGATTCTGGCGTCGTCGTTGCCGGAGAAGAAGAGAAGCCATGATGTTCGGATTCACGAGTTATACTTTGGAGATTATTGATTTCAAAGGATTTAAGATTTATTTATTATTTTAGTTTCCCTAGTGTTTTATTTGTTTTATTATTTCTCATTGTATTCTGTATTTGTTTATTATTAATTATTTTTTATATCCCCGAGTTTTCGGGTGTGGGCTTGGCCAACATACACATGGAAATTTAGGGATATCACACCAACTCTGCCTAATGCACTTTCACGCACCGCCACTCAACAAAACCACTGCTCGTTAAAACACTGTCCACCTCGTTGTGCAACTGATATATCCCAAGACTCACCGCCACTAGAATCCATTCACATCATTCTAAGCTCGCCATTCTTCACCACCATTTTTCCTTGCCAGCGCACCGTCCTCTCACCGCCGAACAAACCCACTTCTCGCCGATTTACTCAAGTTGCGTCCTCACTTCTTGCCTGTGTATCACAACCCTATATGTCAGTCATTTAATTTTTTTTATTTATAACCGACATATCCCAAGACTCACCGCCACCAGAATCCATTCACATCGTTCTAAGCTCGCCGTTCTTCACCACCATTTTTCCTTGCCAGCGCACCGTCTTCTCACCGCCGAACAAACCCACTTATCGCCGATTTACTCGAGTTGCGTCCTCACTTCTTGCCTGTGTATCACAACCCTATATGTCAGTCATTTAATTTTTTTTGATAACCGACATATCCCAAGACTCACCGCCACCAGAATCCATTCACATCATTCTAAGCTCGTCGTTCTTCACCACCATTCTTCCTTGCCAGTGCACTGTCCTCTCACTGCCAAACAAACCCACTTCTCGCCGATTTACTTGAGTTTCGTCCTCATTTCTTGCCTATGTATCACAACCCTATATGCATAAATAGGTTTATATATATATACATATACATATGTGTATATATATATATATATATATATATATATATATATAGGGGGAGAAGAAGGGTAATTCAATTATTTAATTTTTTTTGATATATTAGAATTAAAATTAATTAAATAACGAAGTGTAAAGTAGATTTTTCACATATTTTTAGGCTTTGTATGCATTTCAAATCTAACAAGGGAATGTCATTATTCAAAAATTTGCTAACTTATATATGGTTGTCTTTATGTTAAATTTCAGAGGGTGTCATTGTACTTTTCTCTTAATATAAAAAGGTAAAGTACAAAAAAAATCTCTTGAACTATTGTCCTTTTGCAAATAACCCCTGAACAACAAATTATTCTCCTGAGCTAGTGATTTGTTACAATTAAGGACTCATTTATTATAAAAGACTTTTTTACCCTCTCTCTTTAAATTTGTCATTTCTTATTAAATTATTTTTATTATCTTCTCTCTTATCTAAATATTAATTATACTATTTACCTAAATTTTATTATTAGTATCAATTTATCATAAAAATGAAAAAAACAAAGATTTGTAATTACCATTTTTTAAAAAGATTAACTTAATATTAAAATTTTATTATTTTTAATAAAACTCATTATACACCGTTTAAAATTTTTTATCATAAAAAATACCTTATTTTTCATACAATATACTAATAAAAAATTAATAAATTACTTAAATAAAAATACCTTATTTTTCATGCAAATATTCTTGAAAAATTAAGAAATTAATTATATTGTTATAAAATTTTATGCTTAAGATTTTTATTTGGACAATTAATTTTAAAAATTAAAGGTAAATTTATGCAAATTTAATGAAAAATATTTCAACAAATTACTATGAATTTCTTTTCATAATTTATTTTAATAAGAAAAATAGATTAACTGTATTTCAATAAGAAATGACATTATAATTATTTAATGAAATATAATTTAGGCATTAGGACATTTTGTAAGAAAATGTGATAGTTCCTGGAGTATTATACACAAAGTATACTTGAAGAGGGTTATTTGTAAATTTGAATATAGCTCAGGAGGTTATTTACGAATTTGAACATAGTTTAGGAGGATTTGTTTTGCTATTTATCCAAAAAAAATGCTAAAGTAGGGTAATATAGTAATTTTAAATTGACTCAATGTGAAAACAAAAAAATATATATTATAAATTTATGTTGAAAAACAAAGAAAGTGGTATTCACTAACCAATAGTATATTTTATCTAAAAAATCATAAAAAGATTTTATTTTTATAATAAATAAATTTATATGCAAAAATAAAAAATAAATAAATAAACACAGAGAGCGACAGCGAGGCGGAAGCTGGAGGCCAACAACAAAATTTTCTCCGTACAGTTACTACTGCCACTACCAATAAACTCTCTCTCCCTCTATTTATTCAATCAAATTGGATAAACATTTGGAGTCCGGACCTCCTTAGACCAGACTACACTGCAGTGTCTGTATAAAACGGCAGGAGCGTGCTTTTTGCTTCCTGACTAAGTATAGTCTCTCTCTTCTCCTCTCTCTACATCGACGGAGAGCTCGCCTGAAACTCTACCTTCTCCGGCTATTACTGGCTTGAATCATCATCAGGTGTTACTACTTTTTCCTTGTTTCCATTTTGCCTCCAGAGATCAACTATTGTGTGTTTGATTTACCTAGTTTCTCTCTCTCTCTCTCTCTCCAAACATATATACATATGTATACATACATAATCGGTTCGTTTCTGTGCTTCTTCGTCTCCATTTTCTCTTGTTTGTGCTATTTATATTCTTCGGTAAATGTATATTGACTGTCTCTGTGTGTAGATTTCTTCTCTGTAAATGTACATCTCTTTACATTTTTTCTATGTCTTCCTACCACACCTCTCCTTGTATTAGGTATTTTCACACACACAAACACACAGTCGGGCACTCGGATCGATTTTGTTGTTTTTATCTACTCCATTTTATCTGTCTTTTTGTGCATATCGACACTGTGTGTGGATTTCTCCTCTCTGAATGTCTATTTCATTACATTGTTTCAATGTCTTGCTACATCCCTACTTGTATTATACTCCTCTGATGTGGTTTCCCTAATTTTCTCTCTATATATACATGTTGCTCATAGGTAATTTCTCTGTTCACACACACACATACATTATCCGTTCATTTTTGTAGTTTTATCTATTCCATTTTTTTTTTTTTGTGCATATTGATTGTGTGTGTGGATTTTTTCTCTGTGAATATCTATTTCTGTACATTGTTTCTATGTTTTTCTATATCCCTACTTGTATTATGCTCATCCGATGACGTTTCCCTAATTTTTCTTTCTCTCTCTATGTATATATACAATGTGTATACGCTCATATATACTCATCCTCAATCTCTCTGCCTATTTTCCTGATTTTGTGTTTGTCTGATTTTTTGTTTGTTTGTTTTTCTTTTACAGGGATTTGCAGGTAATATCTCGTATCATTTCTGATGCGGATCACGTTTTCTAGGCGGAGTGAAAAGTCTGTTTGTTTGATTGCTTGTATTGCCTTATTATTATTATTATTATTATTATTATTATTATTATATATATATAGATTTTGTAGATGATTGATAATTGCTATACACCATTATGTAGAGTGTATAAATATCTGTGTGTTGTGCATTCTATTAAGTGGTTTCTCTGATTTTCTTTTTATGGGTGAAATACCATTTCATCCCTGTGTGAAGTGAAAATGAATTTATTAAAGTATTAATAGACCTTCATTTTGTATTCCATCTGTTATTCTATTTTAAGCCTGAAATTTATCAATGTCTTTTGCATCAGGCAACTAATAATCAGTTTAGAATGGAGACATCGATTCATCTAGTGGAGTTTTATTTGTTTTTATTTAGTAATATATATGGAGATTTAGACTTAACTTCACTGCCTATTTGATTCAGTAAGTTGTTTGAGAAATTCCATTTACAATCATGAATTTATAATCACTATATTTTGTGCTTCTCCGGCGGTTTGGAGTATGCTTCACCTCCTCCATGGATGTGCAGACTGCAACCTGCCCTAGCGGGTGATGTGAATAGCTGTAAAACCAATATGCAACTCAACCCCTAGCTGGTGACCACATGCCATTTCTTCTTCTTTTTATTGCTGTTGTTTTTGTTATCATTTTTATATTAATAAATCCACACACACATACATATATATTTTTTTTTGTTGGGAAAAAGGCTTTTGAGTTGATTTTGGGAGTTCTAGCCAACCACATATGCCATTTCTTCTTCTTGGCCTTCTTTTTATTGCTGTTGTTGTTATCCTTTTTATGCATTTACTTAATTTTTTGTTTCCTCTGGAGAAAGAGGATTTGGGAGGGAGCATGAGTTATGCTAACTGCAATTTAAAGGGGGTATAACTTACAAATTGTGGAAATTGCAGTTTTGAATTTCTTATGGTAAATTCTTTAGATTTCCGGATATGTTACATGTCAAATACAGCAGATGTTTCTTGAATTGCTCACATATATATTGATGTCTTTTTATTTTTTCTTTTTTACTTTATTTTTTTTTTTTCTTTTCTTTTTCGTTTTTTTTTTTTTTTTTGTTTTTTTTTTTTAAGTTGCAATTTTCAAGTTCTATATGCAGTTTGCTTTATTAAACAAATTTAATGTCATTTTGTATGTAACTGCTCCTTTTGGTTCACAAGACCATAGAACTCCTTGTTCTGAATATCTTATATTTAAATTTACCAGATATTTTATGTCTATTTATTGACATGCTGTTTGAATTCTTACTTGGATAGTCTCACTGATAAGCTAATGACGGCAGAATTCCGGTTTTGTTTCTTTGAACATCAAGTCTAATTTTCATTTCAGTTGCCAACTGAATTTTCATTTAAAACAATGACCATATGGCAGATTCTACAATGAATTCGAGAAAAGGGGGTGTGAAGCCATTTGTTGCTGGTGCTGACTCATCTGCTGATCAGTTGAGCCAAGGTATGGCAGACATCAGCGTGGATTCTGCACAAGATGGTGAATGGGAGGTTTATACCAAGAAGAACAAAGGTAGAGCAGGAAGCAGTGGGGCTTCCAAATCATGGGGTTCTCAGACCTCTAATCCTAAAGCATGGGGAAATGCAGACGGAGTTCAGAAGCTGGGTATGAGGAGTACTAGTGGATCAGGAAGGGGTTCTGGCAGTAGCTTGCCAATAGTGAATGCTGATTCCAAAAGACTGCCTGGAAGAGGAAGTTCAAGACCCCAATCATCTAACCGAGGTATTGAGAGCAACTACGCTAATCCAGTACCTGTAATTTCTCCTGCATTGCAGCATGGTTGGAATTGGAAGTCTGCTGGAGCTGCTTCTACTCTGCCTTCAGAACGTGACCTGGGAAAAAATGAGATCATTCCGGATGCCTTCCCTTTTGATGTTAACGAGAACAAGGTCAAGGGGATTGTGGATGATGATGATGGTGATGATTCAGATGCTGTTGATGATTCGGATGATGAACTCCTAAGTGATGATTGGGATTCAGATGAGAGCCAAAAAAGCCATGATACACGTAAGAAAAACAAGTGGTTCAATGCTTTTTTTGATATCTTGGATAAATTGACTGTTGAGCAGATCAATGAACCGGCAAGACAGTGGCACTGTCCAGCTTGTCAAAATGGGCCTGGTTCCATTGATTGGTATCGAGGCCTGCAGCCCCTTATTACACATGCCAAGACAAAAGGATCAAGCAGGGTGAAGCTCCACCGAGAACTTGCAGAACTTTTAGATGAAGAGCTGCACAGGAGGGGAACATCAGCCATACCAGCTGGTGAAGCCTTTGGGAAGTGGAAAGGGCTGGATGTAACTGTCAAGGATCATGAGATAGTTTGGCCTCCCATTGTTGTCATTATGAATACTAGGCTTGAGAAGGATGATAATGAAAAGGTATAGTAAATTTTTTCTTGTTTATTTATAGGGATGATATCTGCATAATTTTAATCAATGGAACTGTCATAAAAGACTCATTATTTTTGGTTTTTATGAAAAAAAAAAATTTGTTTGCTTGATTTCAATTGATTACTCAATATGTTGCATTGTGCTTCCAGTGGCTTGGCATGGGAAATCAAGAGCTTCTTGATTACTTTAGCTCATATCACGCAGTGAAGGCTAGGCACTCCTATGGTCCACAGGGGCACCGCGGGATGAGTGTCTTGATTTTTGAGAGCTCAGCAATGGGTTATTTAGAGGCTGAGCGTCTGGATAAGCATTTCAAGGATCAAGGGACAGATCGGGAGGCTTGGGATCGTCATCGTGTTCCTTTCTATCCTGGGGGGCAGCGCCAATTATATGGCTACATGGCAGAGAAAGCAGACATGGATGTCTTCAACCAGCATTCTCCAGGTCCTCACTCTCTTGGCCTCTACACCCACAGTTGATAATTAAATGCATAGTTTTTTTCTGGTTTTGGAGATACAAGAGTACTTCTACCAAGTTCTTATACAATTATGTTTTGCATGCTGTGTGATTGATTAGGCAAATCCAAACTCAAATTTGAGATGAGATCATACCAGGAGATGGTCGTGAGCCAGATGAAGCAAATGAGTGAAGACAACCAGCAGCTTGTCTGGTTCAAGAACAAAGTTGCCAAGGAACAGAGGCACTCAAAAGCCCTCGAGGAGTCTTTTGGTATATTATCTGAGAAGCTGCGGAAAACCTCGGAGGAAAACCGCATTGTGAGGCAAAGAACAAAAAAACATCACGAAGAAAACAAGGAAGAGGTAATGGTTAACTGCTAGGAAGCACGGACACTCCAAAATGGGCGAAGAATCCGTGTCCGACACGTGTCGGACACGGACACGCCCCGACACGTGTCGGACACGCCAAAAAACGTGTCTGGAATTTTTTTATTTTTTATTTATTTTTGGACACGGTTGGGACACGGCTCGGACACGCCACGGACACGGCTCAGACAGCTCAGACACGGCTCGGACACGGCTCGGACACGGCTCAGACACGGCTCGGACACACTTTTCTGGAATTTTTTTTTTTTTTTTTAAATTTTTAATTCTGATATGTTAATTTTTATTTTTTTTTTTTATTTTTAATGCTGATATGTTCTATTTTTTGTTTTGTACTACCCTAAAGATGTTGATATATATATATATACTAACCTAAAGATGCCACAATTCGCCGTGTCCGTGTCCTAAAGATGCTGATATATATATATACTAACATATCAGTGATATATATATATATTCCAACCTAAACATATCAGTGTTTTTTTTTTAAAATTATTAATGCTGATATATATATATATATATATATATATATATATATATATATACACTATTCGCCGTGTCCGTGTCCTAATTTTTTTGAATTTGTCGTGTCGCCGTGTCTGTGTCGTGTCGTATCCGTGTCCCGTATCCGTGTCCGTGCTTCTTAGGTTAACTGCAATAAATTTTGTGTCCAATGATGTTGAGTTTGATTGTTCCCCAGCCCCAGGTGTTGGTTGCGCTTGCACCACTGCCTTGGGCTTTATGTGGGTGTGTGCGCTTTAATATAACCATAGGGCATATGCTATTGCTGGTTAGCTACTTTAAGTATTTTCCCCCCACCCAAATTGTTTAATTTATCAAATTTCTTTGTAAGTCATTCATCAAGTAACCACTGTTAGATTTCTGGAATGCCTTGTAGACTATATCTCAAGTCGAGTAGAATATGTTGCGAATATGCATAATTAGTTCCAGATAAAGTTATAAGTTTATTTTTGTTTCTGTTTCTGTTTCCTTTCCCTTCTCCCACTAACATAAGCACAATTTCGTTCTGACACCTATTGTATATATAATTTTGTTTTTTTGTTAAAATTCTTACCTTCATCATACTCTATATAAAGAACTGCTCAGGTCTTTGTCAAATTCTGCCTATTCTTCGTATCTCTTGAAAAGGAACGACCAGTTTGATGAAGTTATCACAGGGTGTATCTAATGAGAACATAGGATTTGAATCGAATCATTCTCCCTTGTTCCATGTTTTGGAGCTTTTAGTTAATAGAGATTTAAACTGACTCCTGCAAGTTTGTTCTTCATACATTCCATGAAATGCGTAGGCACCCTTCAACTACTTGTTTGTATAATATAGGACATGTTTATCTCCCTTTTTGAAGATTGTAGTTTACTGCAACAGTCTTGTGAATTTGCACCTGATGAGGGAGGAAATGGCTGTTGATTTTGAAGGGTATATATATATTTTCAATTTATTGCTGAAGTTTTGTTTCTAATGTTACATTATATTTTCCTTTTTTTTTTTTTTTGGGAGTATCAAGGATTGCAGATTGCTTGATTCTACAGGTTCCCATCCTGCCCTGCTGTGGTTATACAATTAAATCGCATAAATACCTTCGGTGTTCTAATATATTACATTCACCCCCTTGCACAATTTATTTTAAAGATTAGGGTTTTCATGCTAGGCAGGATAGGGAATTTGGGGTTTGGGGAATGCTTCATTAGACGGTGTGAGGGCAGGGAGGATAGGCCTCATCCCGTATAAGAACCTTGCCATCCTTGGTTAGGGGTCGTGCAGGGTGTGCTATTTATATGACTCTTTATTTTTACTGCTGATTGTGAATCAAACAATGTCAAACGTTCAGTTCTTGATACACTTAAATCACTAATACATGACAATCCTCAATTTGTTGCTAATTTGTGATTTTACATTGGCACTGTTCTATGAAGAGCCCATTACAAACACTTATATAATTTACTAACACTCAGTTTAATATAAATGTTGATATCCTTTATTGTGTTAAGATAATACGATTTCTGTTTAATAGATAATGATGGATCCTTAATATGTTGATTGGGTAGGGCTAAATATCAGATTTGTTAAATCTGTAATGTGGTTGGCCTGTGATATATATATCCATCTACTTGAACAATTTGCTCAAAACAAATGAAAAATAAATTGAGTTGTTCAAGAATTGAAGTAGTTCATGTTAACAAATTGCATTTCTGTTCGGCTTTGAGAGAGTTCTCGCTTTAGGTTTATTTCCACAGGTCAGTGTTTGAAACATGCTCATTTATTTATTTCTTTTTCTTGCAACAGGTGAATATTTTGTGCCGTTCATTATTTCTTTCATCTGTTTTAGTAGTTGGAGTTATTTTCTTTTCTTATCTTCTTTTCTTCCCCCGCTTGACTATTCTAATTATCTCTTCTTTTCTCTTTTCCCCCTCTCTCTTGGGTCCTGCACTCTATTCTTCATAGATGGACTATCTGGAGCAGTTCTTTAAGGAACAACTTAGAGTCATTCAGGACGCTCGGGTTGCAAAGGAGGACAGTTTTGAGAGGATGCAACAACAGGAGCGGGAGAAAGTGAAACAGACAAACACCTCTAATACATCTGATCACAGGCAGAGGTAATATGCCCTTTTTCTACGTTCTCTGTTATATATATATTTTTTGTATCTTCTTTTCCAATCCTTGTATCTTCTTTTCCAATCCTTGTATCTTCTACGTTCTCTGTTATATATATATTTTTTGTATCTTCTTTTCCAATCCTTGGATATAGAGCTGAAAAAAATTTATTGGTGGTCTTTTTTGGTCTACAATTTAATATGAAGTTGTGATGTTTGGATATAGGGTGGAGGAAATTGCAAAATTCATAGAATTTCAGGACAAGGAGATGGATGAATTTGTTGCAGAGAGAGAGAAACTGCTAAAAGATCATGAGCTAAAGAAGATTTCAATGAAGAAAAAGCATGGGGAGGAAGAGCTTGGACTGGAAAGGGAGTTTGATGCTGAACTTAACCGGCTGATGGAGAAGTACAGCCCAAAGCACATGGAGGCAAAAACAGTGGCAGTGGCGGCTACTGATGATGGTAAGTAAGATCTGAGAGATAGAGCTAGTACTAGTAGTCTAGTACTATAAACAAGAGAAACACAGCGAGAAACTTGAGATATTTTGAACGGTTTTTATCATTCCCTTAACAATGGCATTCTAAAGAAGTTAGTAAGATAGAAAACAACAGATGATGAGACACAGTCATTTCAGAGATTGTGATGGGTTTGTTACTTGTATGTAACGGAATGGTGCCTTGCTTTTTAGGTTAAATGTGGGTGGTTGGTTGGTTTTTACCAATGTTTATCTGTTGTATATCTATCTAGTCAGTCCTCTCCTCGGTTGGGGTTGGGCAGGCACAGGTACAGGTACACTCCTATTTGGAGGATTGGAGTAAGATGAACAATGATATCTGACTTACGGATGTTATGGTGCCAATCTGGTTTCCGTAGCCTGCTACTAGACCCATTCAATGAATGGTACTGGTATTGACAGGCTGCTTGCTGCTCGTATAAACTAGATTACTAGAACTCGTATTTTGCACGGATAGATAATTGGGACCTGGACCACCGTATGCCACTCTAAATGGTCCTCTTTTTCTGTTTTAGCAAGTAATAATTACTACTAATATAGTTTCCTAAATGTGGTGGTGGTAAACAATTCTTAGTGTTGTGGGATCCCAAGTCCACCCTACAAAAATGTTTATTCCAGTTGCATTTGCATTTTACTATTGTACCAGTAATAGTGTTCCTTATTAGTGTTGTCTACCAAAGATTAACTTAACATATTGTGTATATAATAATATATGTTGGTTTATCTATATTTCTATATGTAAGTGCTTACTTCTGTGTCTGGTGAAATTAATAATTAAAATACTTACTGTGGATCTAAACCTAAAAAGGAGGGTGAAAAGAAATTGGTGAATCAATGCCCTTATCTAGGAGAAGGTATTGGATGCGCCTGGTGATCATCCGAGCCATATGTGTTGTGAACTTGCGTTGTGCATGTTATCGGTGCAACGGTGTGCTAGGCACACCGAATATCTATCCCTTTTGTAGGCGGTTTAGTGAGATTGGATATGAGGTCAAGCATTTGGCTTGGTAGCCAGACAGATTGGGGCTATTGTGTTTTTCATGTCTTTTATGTTTGAAAATATTCAGTTTGTGCAAAATAATGGTAACTAGCTGGCTGGGTGAGCTATTTTTGATTGATGCCTCTGTTGTAGTAGTCTGATAAATGCATGTGATTGCAACTTTAGCGCTTTATTTATTTGAAATATTTTATCATTTCAAACTCTTGATGGATGTGATTGATGGGTATCATTTTTTAAAAATCCATACGAGAATCTTACCTTTTAGTCACGTCGTGTCTCTCAATTGTGGCTGGTTAAAGGGCACTTTTACTTAGAGACGACCTCGTTTCACTCGGTTTGTCAAAAAAATAAAAACAAAAAATATTCTTACTTCTGGTATGCATGATACTCTTCCGTCGCATTTTAAATGTCCTTTTTGAAAAGGGTGACTCTCATCCTTTTTTGCAACAGTTTTTTTGTGCAATTTGTAAATATATGGAAGAAAGTGTTCCTTCCGGATTCTATCCATAATGATTCTTTGCAACAGTTGTATCTTGTCTTTAGGCGTTTGCGGCTTTACCAAAGAAAGCCAACTCAATTAGTTAAGCATAAACATGGATATACTACCTCCGTCTTAAAAATAGTATCGTCTTAAAAATAGTATCATGTTCGGAAACTCAGACAGTTCAATTTGTGAAAGTCACGGTTTTTTAAAAGTGATACTTTTTATTAGACGGAAGGAGTAATACAATATGGATGCATTGAATTTTACTAAAATAGGATTCTGACTTTTATACTGAGACATGATTTGAAAATTAAAGTTTTACCATTATTGTAATATTTTTTATATTATATACTAATTATTCTACAGCTTTGTTATTAAAATGTTTTTGTTTTAAATAAACAAGTATTATTTTATGTTTGACTTGTTATATTGCTATTTTTTTTAATAAAAAATAATTAAACACTTTAGAATGTGATCACTTTAACCTCAAATCTATCTCTTTCTTTGTATGAGAACACACATTCTTTGTATGAGAACACACATCTATTGTGGAGGAGGAGGCTCTTGTTTGACGGTTTCATTTTTCCTTGGCATTCTTCACCCGCTAATGACAAGATAATTTCATTTGTTTTTTTAGAACTAAAACTAAGGTACTATTAGGTTCTCGCATACACAAATGAATGTACGTACAAAGTCAATATTATCTAACACACAATTCCTTACTAATATAAATTTATACCGGAATATGGTTAGTGATAGGGAATATTAGCCTAAGCAGAAGTCTAAGTAGACTGTAGACCACAAAAGCCCGAGAAGTTTGGATAGAATACACATAGATGGGACAACAATTACTACTATATGAAATAACTCTCCTAGTTCTTGGTGGAAGAGTAAACTGAACTAATTTTCTTTGTGAACACGACTCTCATTAATTCTTCTATAAATGAAAAGTCGGACAAATCAAAAGGTACGTCATAAATTAAATACAAAGTCTTTTATTCTCCCTATTTATTGTCAAGTACTAACTTGACCGTCACAACGCCGGTCGTCACTTCTATCTTATTTTTTGGGAAACATCTTCGACTCTGGCCGGCCTGAGTAGATTTTTGCATCAACAGTTATAATTTTATTTTATTTATTTATATTTTATTTCTCCTAATAACTTCAACAATCCTCTAGAGGAAACTTGAATCCATTACCTTTGGCTTTGGAAAAAGAGGAGACATGTTATTATATTTTTGTCATGCATCAAATTATGTCATTTTTGAAGTTCAACACCACTACTTTAAAAATGCGACACCCATTATTTTTGAGGACGTAATATTTTTATTTTGAAAATGTAACAACAATTTTAAAAGTAAAAGAAGATTAAACAGAAGAAGGTTGATATGCTTCTCTCTTGACCATTACCATTCTAAATTTCTAACGCAAAAAATTCCTTGGAAGAAGTGTAAATTATCAAATAGAAAAAAAGAAAAAGAAAAAAATAGATAAAGGATAAACTATATTTACTTGTAGTATTTTGCAATAACTTCCCTTTAAATTTCTTTGGCCAAACAACCCGGTAGACACCTTATTTTGCAGCACTTTTATAATTTATTTTATAAAAAAAAAAAAGGTAGAAAAAAGAAACAAATAAGATAAGAGAAAAGAAATTAAAATAAAAGGCAAGAAAATATATTAACACATTCACACTCATATACACTTTCTCACACTCACTCACATCTAAGGGTAATCCATCAACTCATATATTACCTATAAAACACAGATACTTTTACAAAAGAGTTGTATTTCGTGTCTATGTAAGACACTGACACTCTTCCAGCACATGTCTGACACTTCACATTCGTGTCCTTAAATAACAATTAAATTTTTTATTATCTTGGACCCTTAGCCGACACTTCACAGACGCTTAAGCCAACACATTATAACATTTCTAATATAAGTTTACGCGGTAATCTTGAAAATAATATAAACACATTCTAAAGTGTTCAATTTTTCTATTTAAGAATAATTGTCATTATACATAAGATCACAAATAAAGCATAAAATGATATTTATTAATTTAAAATAAAAACACTATTGCGACGAAGTCATTACAATAATGACATAATTTTATTTTTTAAATAATTTCAAAACAACTCTAAATATCGTGTTCTACCTTTTTAAAAGTTTAACGTGTCAACGTATTCGTGTCTGCGTCATGCCATATTTCACCTTGTGTATTCAGGTTATATAGCCCACCCATGTTCACACTTTAATCAAATGGGAGAAATCATTAGATTGATTCAATTCAATTAAACTTTAATTCTATATATATATATATAATTATATATATCAAAAGCCATTGGCCCATTACACATGCAGGCTTGCTCATCCCCCATCTATAAGTTAAACTTTAATGTTTTAAAACTCCATTCCTTTCAACTTTGATTCCAGTAGTAAACAAAATATCTAATTTTCTCCTTCCATCCCATTCAATGCACCTAAAGAATGCCACACAATGTGATTCTCCATAATTTTTTACTTTCAACACCATGTTTAATTTCCCAAAAAGTAGAAAAATAAATAAAAATAAAAAAGGTTAAAAGTACTTCCACTTGGGACAGAGTATCTGAAATTAAAATTTTCAAAGCGTCCTTAGCCTTAAAATCAATACAGTAACAAACAATGTACACTATAAATTTCTTCTTGTAAAGTTTACACATGCATTTCAAGAAAAAAATTTAAAATAATAATAATAAATAAGATACTGCAGATCTATGATACCTCAAGGAACTAGTTATTTTTTTATTTTTTAAATATTGAAGATCAGGACATACACACAATGCGAAAAATCTACCACCCACACTGAAAGGAATCTTAACTCCTGAACCATGTTGCTCTATGAAAAGTGTGGTCCTCTATTAAAATATGATGGTTAACAGATCAGTAGGTTTTCGTTATTTATATTTTCCCCTTTTTTCCCCTCATATGAATCCTGCACCATTTCTATACACATTACTATTTCTAGTAAACACGTGCTATGATAATCGAGATTACATACATAATTAAACAGGCTTACCAACCCTCTTACGAATCCCTTTCAAATACACTTCTTCCTCCTATCGAGTAGTCTGTGTTGCACGGTTTTCCTGCCGAGGGGAGTCTGCGTAAACTTGACCTCGGTCCCTCACATCTCTAAATATAGAAAGAAATGAGTTAAGGCTTTCGGAAGAAGCCCCCCCTAATATCCACAATAACAAGGAACTAAATGAATTCATAGTCCCAGGATTGGTAGCAGCTTCTGCTTGGTGGAGGTCTGCTTGCCCCGTAATCTGGAGAGGGTTGTCTACTCTATCTGAGTTGTTATTCTCTGATGGTTCAAGTATTCCAGAAAATTGTGCTTCATCACCAGTTGGTGGCATTGCCAGATTAGGTCCGGCTCTCACCCCACTTTCAGATGTCGGGTCTGCATTAACTGGACCTGGGTTCCTTGTGTTTAATCTGGTGATATGCAACGTTGAGGCAAGTATTGTAGAGGAGGTAATGTGGAAGTCTGGGTGTTGCTGAAACTGCAACCGCCGATTTTGCATAAACCTTAGTAGAGCTGGAACCTGATACGATATTAGCACAGAAATTGGTGAAGTCAGTCAGTTATCAGAAAAATGGAGACGTCCACTCACAGAAAAAGACCAGCTGCATCAGAAATATTCTGGTTTTGCTGCAGCCATGTACCTTTTCAGAATAGACCTAACCACCATAAATGAATAGTAAAATATCCACATGGATCCCCCGTATCAAGAGAAATTGTATGCACAAAAAATCCTCTCTAGGGGTGAATCTTCACGTTGACAAATTACGCTAAAATTTAAGATTTTCCTGAAGTCACTAGAGACGAGAATGAATATCCATCAAGAAATTAGAGCCTTGAGGACTTTCTTCCCAGAGAACATTAAAATGAATTTTTTCTGTGAAACATAGATTGCAATGGGTAATCAGATGTCCCATTTTTCTGAAGCCAGCGGACTCGTTCTCTTTCTAATTAACAAGATAAAAGTAAGTGGAGTTTAGACAAAAAAAATAATACCAATAAAAACATATTGCCAATCAACATGAAGTATGGTTCATGTCTAAGTAACGCGAAGCATGTTATGGCCACTACTAACATAGTACCATCCAACACCATCTAAATATTCTACACTAGTGGTCATTAAAATGAATTTTTTCTGTGAAACACAGATTGCAATGGGTAATCAGATGTCCCATTTTTCTGAAGCCAGCGGACTCGTTCTCTTTCTAATTAACAAGATAAAAGTAAGTGGAGTTTAGACAAAAAAAATAATACCAATAAAAACATATTGCCAATCAACATGAAGTATGGTTCATGTCTAAGTAACGCGAAGCATGTTATGGTCACTACTAACATAGTACCATCCAACACCATCCAAACTACACCAGAAGCCACACCTCACACTAGTGGTCATCAAAGCAGTGGTAGCCTAGTACTATTTTACACGGACTCGAGTATTCGTGTTGGGTTGAAAGCCAAGGACACGAATTTGCAGCTAAATATTCATATTTATTAAAATTTATAAAATTTTATTTTTAGGTGACAGTGTCCAACATGGGCACTTCCTTCATTTTGAAGTACAAATGGAAAAAGGAAAATATGAAGGTACATGAATCATCAAATAGCTTATTAGGTGCATACCTACATGTTGTATGTCCAACATGGGTATTTTTCATGCATTAGACGACTCCATGTAACAGGTTACCTAGACATAAGTAAGCAACCAAATCCTAAGACCCTTAAACATCTGGTCTCACTTCATCTACAGCAGGTATGCAAAAATTTGAGATATATTATATCCGTTCTCCTGCAGCAAGTCAATATAACTTCCTTTTCTGCTGTAAAAGTACGTTTACAATTGGTAATCCAATACATATACTAGAAAATTATGCGAACTAGGGACATACAGTGGCGCTCTACAATTATTGCCATAAAGCTTACTCAAAACAGTTGCCTCAAAACGATTCCAGAAAAATTGAATGCATATACTAGAAAATAGTGTCAAACAAGAGACATATAGTAATGCCTACAATTACTGCCAGAAAGCTTACTCAAAAAGAGGTTACCTCAAAACGGTTCCAGAAATAAAGGATGAGGTGCTGCATAAATGCTGCAGTAGTAGAGAGAGCCAGATACGAAAAACCTAGGAAAATTATTGAAGCCCAATTTAAGATGATGATAAATGCACCCAATTCAAAATCAAGAAAAATAGGTAATAGGTCCATACCATAAGTATATGAAAAGAAATAGATATGGAACACCAGAAAATAGAGTAAAAAGAAGCGAGGAAAGAACTTCATCGATATTGGTGTGCGGACACTGCAGGCCAGTAACAAACACAATTATATAAGAAAGATATGTAAATATGTAAACACAGGATTGCAGAATCTTGACGAAATGGATCTTTTCCTATGAGTGATATCGTTGAACAATACATGGTGTATATCAAGGATCAATCTACTAAAATAGGGTAGTCCTTACTTTGGTCATTACTGAAGCCTAAAAACCATACCAATCCAAACATCACACCCATCAATCCAACCATCTTTGTGACTGGATCAAGGCATTGGTTCAGTAACACTGCTACTATCGACTCGAAATTCAGTGGACAAAAACATGCTGGCATAAAAACACTGCTACTATCCACTCGAAATTTGGTGGATAAAAACATAGTGGCATAATTGTGCAGATATTGAGGATCCAATCTGGGAAAACTGACCAGAGTTGAAACCTTAGGCACTCTGCTACCCAACTGGTACATTGATTCTGTGACAAATATACCCAAATCAATGCCAATGATGCTCAGTGCGTGATGTGCAAATAGCCAAGGGGTTGGCAACCTTGTTCTAGAAGATGGTCATAATTAGAAACCAAATGTCATTTAAAGACAGCTTCTCCTTTGGGTCAACCATCTACCAGTCCTTGTGTCTTCATGTCCATAAATATATATATATATATATAGAGAGAGAGAGAGAGAAGGACCTGATCAGCGTAAATAGTTCACACAACCAGACAAGAATTAAGACCATGAAAGCCAACAGCTGATCATCATAAAACTCAAACAGAAAAAATAGGATTCCAATCATAATCTGCAGACCCAAAAGCACAATCATGTCAGCCAAGATAAAACACCAAGAGCAATAAAAAATTTATAATTGAAAAAAGAGAAAAAAAAAAAATATATGAAAGAAAACAACATGAACTACATATAATTTCTATCATTCTATGATTTCTAGATATTATTGTGGATCACATATACATTAATCGAGATAAGACATAAGGTTTACCGGTACAAAGACGAGGGATTCAATTACATGCACAAAAATCAACTGGAATGTTGGAAGCCGATGACGAGCATGGTGTTGAAGTTGCACTGCATTTGAGAAAAAGAGGGAAACCATTATATATTTTTTTTGATAAGTAAGAAACCATTATATATGAGAGAAGAGGAAGGAGGAAGCATGACGCATCGGTACCCCCCAAGGATCAATGATCAATCAGGACCAACCAATGATGGAGGAAAATTTAGATGAACAATAAGCACACAAGACACATTTTGGAGACCGTTGTCAAATTTATCTAATCAATACTTCCTATAACATGTGAGCTTACATATCATTTAATTACTATATCAAAACATTAACCATTGGCATGGGTCATTTAACCAGGTCATGAATACAACAACACTATTAGACAAATGCAAATACTGTGTGGGGTGTGCCTTATCATGCCAGAACTGTCAGATAGAAGATAATTTTTCTTGGGTCAGGCCAAACAAAAAATGAAACAAAACAAACCTGTGAACTTCAGCATTCGAGTTTGTGTCTCTCTCAATGTAAATGAAACTGACATTGTAGTTGTGAAGAAAACAAATAGTGACATCATAAGTACTCCACACTTGGTCACGAGGTAATCTGTAAGAAATCAGAAGCAATGTGTAATAATGACATTTAATACCCATAACATTTTTTTTGTGCAGAAGATACCTTGCTAAACATGCATAAACTTAGCCAAAAAGAAGTTACAGTATGACCATGAACATAGCCAAATTCCAGCATACAAAAAGCAATACACTAAGAAAGTGCCTCTCATACATCTTCAATATTGTAAGTATTTATTATATTTATACACTACTCTTTGGAAATACATGCACGATGGATCCACTTTGTTATGGTTGCCAAAAGTTACAAGCTATGATGTTGTGGCCCGAATTTTGTTTCGGCTCGGATCACGTTGTGACCTGGTTGACCAGAAAAGTAAAAAAAATTGACCTATTTTCCAATTGCGGGTCGTACACCCTGCTTAGTACTCTTTTGTAGCCCAATATATAAGGGTGTTTAGGGTTTGGAGTGGGATAGAGTGAGACGCTGAAATCGCAGGAAAGAGAGAGAGAGTGAGAGCGAGAGCTAGGTTTTGGGTCTGAAACTTGTAATCTCCTAATTTTCGCATAGTGAAATCTTTAACCGGATCTTCACCATGGACGTAGGCACAAATTGTGCCAAACCACGTAAATTTGTGTTCTTTGTGTGTGGCGTGTTTACTTTTTTGTCGTGATTCCTAATTTGTTCTTGGTTCGCTGTGTTTGTCGTATCACAATCATATATCCTTGCAAATAAATCAATGGGCTATTTTCTAAACAGCTTCAATGAAGGAAAGGCATAATAATAATAATAGGTTTAGTATGAATTAGGTAACCTTAATTTGAGATGAAGTTTCTCAAGTCAGGTTTTTGCAGCTTCAATGGATAGAAGCATTATAGTAGTTGTTTTGGTAAGAGGAGCATGACAGTAGTTAATTCAACATAGATCTCAGCTCCAAGTAACCAAAGATTTAAGTTCTAGTTCGCAGCTTGATAGCTCAAGAAGTGACTTCTGTTCTGAAACTCAATCTTGATTACAAGAAAATAAAATTTCAAAAAATAAATGACTAGAGATTTCAATTAGGTCAGGGTAAGCTAGTTCAGGGTAAGAAAATGTGTGGTGCTTGATATTCCCTATCCATTTTCTAGTCATAAAAATGAGTAAATGCTTGATATTCACTATTGCTAACAATTAAACGTATATTTTTCCTAAACCAACATAGATTGGTGGTGCTTCCCAATCTATTTATGGTTTAGAAAAAGAATAATTCAAATCCAAGAGTAGTTAGTACCTCTTCCATTAACTTGACTCACAAGATATTTAAAAATACTTGCATTTTGTATCTTTCCTTTTGTCTTTCACTTATGTGATGCCATTTTGTTTACAAATGTAATAAATGAGTACGTTGGTAGGACTGATTAGAGCTCTGTCATGGCAGGCTCGTTCCACACAAAAAAAAAAGGATTAATCTCTTGTGGGATTCCCACCCGAAGAAGCACGGATACGGGCATGGGACACGGACACGATATGACAAGGATACGCCGACACGTCAAATTCTAAAAAAGTAGAATACGGATATGGCGTGGGCACGGCTAATATAAACATAAATTTTCATTTTTATATATGTAATGAATGAGACAAACATGGAACTTTACTTAATTTATAAATTCCATAATAAAGTTACATTTTTTTTTTTTAATAAGTAAATAAGTATTAGAAAGCAATGAAAAGGGGGATGCATCCCAAAGCTACACAAAGGCCAAAGCCAAGAGGGACCCTAAGGACCCAAAGAACCCAAAAAATCAACTATCTCCTCTATAGATTTACAATTTGTCCCCATAACCCAACTAAAAAGAGAGCTAACAATAAGAAATTTAATAGCCCCAAGCAAAGATTCCTCCCCATCAATGTATTTTCTATTCCGCTCCTTCCAAAGACACCACCACACACAAAGAGTGTACAAGACGAAGAGTGTAGGATGTGTTGGTCGAGTGTCTCGAATGTGCTGACCAAATGTCGAAAATGTGTTGACCAAATGTCCGAGATTTGTCGGCCAAGTGTCCTAAATAATAAATTTTGTTTTTAAATAATAAACACGGACATGTCTAGGAGTGTCCATGGAGTGTTACAGTGTTGGACACGGACATGAGACCTCATAGAAGTGTCTGGGCTTCTTAGCCTACACCCACTTAAGAAACCTACGTCCTCTCAATACACACTCAATGTGGGACTCAAACCACGTGTATGCATCGGTGACAGGATCCCCTGGACAGATCCTTGTTATCCTGTTAGGGGGAACCACACAACAGAGATTCATAAAAGACGAGATTTAAACAAGAATGATTAATAAATTAATGCAAAAGATCAAATGAAAGTTGAAGCAATAAAAAATAACTCGAGCACAAGCTCTTTTGGGTAAAAGTAAAAAACCTTGCCAACAATACTATCTCTAGGGACCCTACCATATGTTACTCCAAAATCATAAAATACCATATGAAGATTTTTTACTTACTCTGTACATAACATTAACCTTCTCAGCCTTGCAGAAAAAAATATTAATCTTCCCAGTATTTAAATAGCATATAATAGAGTTGACATAGTAAAGTCGGACTGAATAAATCAACCAAAATATCCAACTATAATACCTCTCGATACTACAAATGCATTTAAAAGTATTTTTATGCACCAAAATTTCCTATATGTTTAAGCATTATAAATCTTTATAATTTAGGTTCTATTGAATGCGAGAATCAACCATGAAACTCAATTAACCTACCACTAAACCTATTCAACTCTAGATGGCAAGTTCATTCACTAACTTCAACAAGGAACTTCTATTTGGTTCTAAACTAAAAGGGTGTTACAATGACCCGATATTACCTGTCCAGCATTAAAATAGATCCAAATAACAAAATAAGCATAAACATAATTGATAACTTGAAATTTGCTACTTTAAACATCTCCCTCTAACAAATGCTCACAGCTGCTTAGTTTGCACTTTGCAGTGCCACAGTATCTTGACACTGCTTCAGCTATCAGCAAAATGGATTTCAACCCAAATGAATCAATTTCAATCAATCTATAGTTGCTGATCAAAGGTCACATAGTGAATAGCAGGGTAAATGTAAGTTTGCCAATATTTGTATGGAAATTATGCCATCAACCTACTGCTCCAGCTTCACTTAAACCAATTCACTCCTTATATGAAACATTCCTCTAGTCACTAACATGACCAATTTCAGCAAATTGTATAATTGGCATTGCTCAGAGGATATCCAGCAGGATTGTATGAAAAGCATGGCAAGCGTTTAAATAATTGACATACTTCAAACATACCTCCAAATCTTGCAGAACCTTCGGGTTGCTCGTGTGCATAAGTGAGATTATAGAACTCCTTTGTTTGGTAATTATAAAGATACCCTGCACATTGCAACAAATATTTAAATAAACAAAATTTGAGAACTAACACAAACTCATCACATAATAATCAGATGGAACTTTAATTGATTTGTTGTGGACTCATCTGAAACTCTAACTGGAAAATGTGCCATTCCATTAAATCAATAGATGGAAAAAAAGAATGCCGTTTGCAATTAAAGACCAAAAAGACATCAAATAAGTTTGAAAACAACTACAATTGTTTGTTCATCTGTACAATGAGGCTATTTAAAGAGATCACGAAGAAACAAAAAATAAGTTAACTGAGTTAGTGCAAAATTATCTGAGACAAACTGTATCTGAAAAATGTGCTCATTCATTAAAGCATCAGGTGGAACAAGAGAATGCCTTTGCACTAAAACACGCATCAGATAAATTCATAAATGAATATAATCATATCAGCACTAGTACGATCAGCCACTGTACAAGGGGGCTACTGAAAGAAACAGGGAACCAACAGAAGTTAACTGAGTTGGTGTAGAATTATCTGAAACTAACTGTATCTGAAAAGTGTTCCCTTCTATTAAATCTACAGGTAGAACAAAAGAATGCGTTGCACCGATCTTTATCAGCAAGGTGGCAACATATTGACAACTTATTATGTCAGTTCATAAATGAACAAAATGAGAAGACTATCAACCAATATAAAAGGATAAGAATTCCCATTAAGAATAGCAAAACACAAAAGCATGGTAATATATTATGTTTATGTTTATGTGATATATACGTCATGCACAACCCACAAATAAGTTCTTAACAGTCATAAACAGGTATGCACTAGTTAAAACAACTACTCAATACCTTGACCAGGAGAATTCAACAAACTATTCATCAAAATAGTATCATATCCCACAAGTCTGTTTATCAGCAGTTGCTGCCATCTGGACAAAAGAAGATATTTATTTAAAATATGTTAGTATTTATCATTTTCATTTATATGCATACCACTTTTTTTTTAACATTACAGCAAAGCTCCTACATCTTGCAGTTTAAAATCAACTTTGATCTAATAGGCGTACTTGGTTCAGGGAACAGGATTTCTAAATCTTTCCAGCTGCAAATATATGGAATCGGCAAAAATCCATTGTTTGAATAGGTAAATTAAGATTCTATTTGTCAAAAAGTTGGGTCTGGACAAACATTGTGCATGTATAAACAATTTAGGGTCCTGGTGGTGGAGATGATGGTGGTGACTGAAGGATTCTAGACAACGATGATGCAACAGTAATAATGGCAACCATGGTGGCAGTGGAGGAAAGGCCTTCGATAACGACTATATGATGGAGGTTGAGGTGGTGATGATGATGACGATAACAGTTGCATGATGGTGGCGCTGGACCAGCAGCAGTGATGGATGGAGGTAAAGACACAGGTGATGGATGTCATGGTTGTGCCACCCCACAGCAGTGGTGACAACAGAGTATTGACAATTACCATATAGTGGTGGTAATGGCAATGGGTGTCGGTGGCAATGATAGCGGTAGCAGGATTGGGGCATAAACGGAAGTATTAAGTTGTGGCAGCAGTATTGGCAGTGATGATGGTTGTTGGAAGACAGTTTTTTTTTTTTAATGTTGTTAGCTCTTTTATACAATTAGGGTTATTCATCTATGTTTGCATTAGTTAGTAATAAAAATAATTAACAATTGAGAGAACCCTAGACTCAATTTTAGCGCAGCCATATCTCTCTCTCTCCCCGAACTTGACGAATGTACTGGGTTCACTGTTCAGAGTCAAGTCATTCTTATATGTACTTCAATTGCGTCACAGAATCGCTAGAGGGAGATTGTAAGGTTAACGTGTCATTGTGCAAATTCCATAACATAAGTTATCTAAAGTGTCGAACAAAATGTCACTATTGTATTCAGTCAAAATCATGTTATCAAGGAAGTTACATTCCAAAGTGAATATTAAAGATGGATGCGAAGAGAACTTCAGCATTAATTCTCCATCCAATTCAGTCACATTAGGAATGGTAAGTGATACTAAACAGAAATAGGATCTAGGTTACATAAATGGCTAGATAAACCTACCTTGAACTTAGATAACCACAGACACTTAATTGAAGTTCTTTTAGCTTAAAATGGATTGTTTTGGCTATTTGGACGTTGAAAATTGTTTTATAAAGCTTGAAAATTACTTTAAAACATGAAAAATTAGAATTGACACAAGGATAGAAGATCAATCCCCAGCTCCATAAAAGAGAGACTATTAAAGTGTTTGTGCTGCTGTAGTGAAATTGATTTTATTAAGTCTTCCTTTTTTATCGATCCTAGTCGGAGGTATTTTGCAAATGACACCTCATCCATTAAAATTTCCATAAGTTCTTTTATAACTGAAATTTAGGTCCTGAATTTCGTATAGATTCCCAGTCCAATTGGGGAATTGCACTCCAAACACCAGATTAGATTGTAAGTGGTCAAATTCAATTCTGCCCTTCATGCACCCAAAATCCTGGAACCAAATGCACCATAAAAAATTTCAACAAATATCAACCTTCTCTTTAATAAATTACTGGTTTGATAAAATTTTGGATAAATTTACTTGAATGATATCTATCAGACCATTTGACTGTCTCATGCTTACAAATTTCTCCACACGAGGACACTGTTATGCAATTTCAACATTAAAAAAACCAGCCATTGGTTTTATGGCCCATACGAACGTGGTCAATTATAAGAGAGTACCAAAACTAAAACAAGAATGCATGTTCTAGACATAGAAGAAATGCATCTTACACAACAACTAAACAAGCTACTGTGACCAAAGGACCAATTGGCCCAGCTGTATCATCCCTTCCTCCCCAAAGGGGAGGCCGGGGGTTCGAACGTCGGTGGAGGTAGGGTGTGTCCGTAATTGCTTTAACTTTTTTTTATTTTATTTTAAAAAAGCTACTGTGATTGACCATTCTTTGTGATTATCTTCAGAAGAAATATATGAATATGACCTGTTCCCAAAGCATGAATGCCGAGCTGATATGCTAATGTTAGCAGTACGTATGTTATGCTGAGACTTGGCTCCATCAGGCAGCAAGAAATAACCCTACACAAGAAATGAAATAAAATATTAAAAATAAATGAATGAAAACTAGCTTGACAACCATGTGGGAAACTTTGCAAAAGTTAATGCAACCAATGTTAAGTATTGCTAAAGTATACAATCTCATGAATTGAAAGGAGTAAGGGATGAACATACAAGGTGAAGCTTACCTTTTCCATAGTGTATAAATAAGTTGGTTCAAAAGCTTTGCTTCTCTTTTCAAGCCACTGCACTGAAATATCAAGCACAACTTGATATAAGAAAATATCACGAGAAATTTTCAAACGAACATTAAAACAATCAAATTTAAGCAAACAACAGCTTATCAGCAGAAACCAAAATGATACACATCAATGGTAAAGGCTAGTACAGATGCAAAATTGGGAAAGAGAGCATTCGACATTGGAGCTAGTGTAATCCAAAAAATTTACAAGATTATCCCAAATCCCCTTAGCAGGTCGTAAGAACAAATGCAATTTACTAAATCTGATTTCACCGAGTGTGGAAACCATGACATGACTGTTGAACTTCCAGCCTCAAATTTTTAATACAAGAGGGATCATCAATCTCTAATTTTTTAGCTTACCAGTCAAATAATCAATTTTTCCTTTACTTCTAATAGACAACACTGATTGTGACCGAGGCGGACACCTTGTTTTTGATTTGGGAGACATCATCTTCTCAGATCATGTGATTAGCCTCAAACACAACCCAAGCACCTCCAATAACACAAAATAAGAGATGAAAACAAAACAACTACTAGAAAGGGAAAATATGACTAGAACACAGTGAAGCGTGCTGTTACAGCGAACAAAGAAAAAGAAAAAGCATGCTGTTATAACATATAAGAAGATAAAAATCAAAAACATAAAAATGCAAATATAGCTGATCTAGGAGTATCTATCACTTGATAGAACATAAAATTCCAGACTTTTATTCTTGCAAATATACACATTCGAACTGAAAAATAGAAAAAAAAACCTTCAAATCAAAGCACTCTTATAATCAGAGAAAAAGAAATCGCTTCAGAATAACTTACATCTGGATTTTTTCCGAATCACTTAATTTTATGGACAAATAAAAAACAAAAGAAACACAAACTAAAAAAGTCGGATTGGGCTGAAATCTCACGAATAAAGATCCTAGGGAAGATGAACTTATCAAGTTTGCTGTGCTGACATCTGCATTCATACAACTGACATCAGCATCCATACAAATGTCTATATGCTGATGTCAGCATTGACTTTTGTCAATCGTATTCATACAACTGACATCAGCATCCATACAAATGTCTATATGCTGATGTCAGCATTGACTTTTGTCAATCGTCTCTTCCAGACAATCCTCTTAGATCTGACTCTGACACCAAGTTGATTTATGTGTTTGAACAGTAAACCAATTGTTGATGCAAGATTTCACAGCGACCCAGAACAACGTTGAACCTGAAAAAGAAAGGTGATTGGGAGGGCACCGGTGTGGTGCCGGCCTAAGAGACTCCGACAATCAAGTTAGTGCTAAATCAGAAGGATGGAAAGAAGGTGAAAGGACTTTCTTAGGGATTTGTGTCATCCTCCTTTAGTTGACCCGAACCCCCTCTTTATAGAGGTACCTAGTTGCATTCAACTAGGAGTGTTATTGCTTTTACTTCTCCAACACGGATGGGGAAGCCACTCTTTATCCTCATCCTTCAGTTATTGGAACCTGTCCAACTTCATAACTGTTATGACAAACGCAATGAACCCAAGTTGAATCAAGAATCACCAAAAAAAAGTAAACACGCCACACAAAGAAAACAAAGATTTATACGTGGTTCGGCAACAGCCTACGTCCACGGTTGGGATCCGGCGAAAGTTTTCACTATGTGTCAAATCGGAGATTACAAGTTTTTAGCCCCTCGCCCTGTTTCTGTACGAATTTCAGTCTCTCTCTCTTACACCACTCCAAACCCTAAGTGCCCTTATATATTGGGCTACAAGAGACTAATTAAGGTCCACGACCCATGAGCAAGAAACGGGTCGTGGTTGTTCAGATTCCCAAGGCACATGTGATATTAAGTAATATAAATAAGCTATAGAAGAGACAAAACAAGAGATACTGTTGACATATCTGTAAAGATAGTGCTCTGCCTGATATATTGGCAAAGGAAGTACTCAGTTCTACGCAGCACATGCATCTTCACAAATTTCAAATTGTTTTTTTTTTTTTTTTTTTCTTGAATAATTTCAAATTGTTGCCACCCATGCCATGCCTTTTTAAAGGCCAGCTGATGGAAAGAAGTTGCATCCCTTCTTGGTTTCTCTTAAACTTTGGAGGTAAACTTCTTCTCTCTACTTCTTGTGTTCTTTCATTAGTTCCCGTACTTTACTTCTTACTTCCTTCGACATGGATAATGTAAATGTTAACGAGATTGATTAGGGTTTACCTTTCATCTATTAGCATAGTTGATCTATTAGGGCCGTTTGGTTAGATAGAAATTTATGATAGAAAGTGAAAGTGAAAGAAAGTGAAGTGAAAGTGAAGAAAATTAAGTTTCTACCATGCATTTGGTTAGCATGAAAGTTTTTCAAGAAAATTATGAGAAAATATGATTTTGTTAATTTGGGTAGGATGAAAGTGAAAAGAAAGTGATTCTACTTACCAAAACTACCCTTATATCTGTTAAAATTTAATTGTGCAATTGATGATTAAAAAATATATATATATATATATATTTATAATAAAATAAGGCAATTAGAAGTTGGATTAGACATAATTAGAGAGCAGAGGCTAAACTAAATATTAATATTTTTTCTTTTATTTTAAACCTCCACATTAGATATTTTATTTTTTCGTTATTAATCACTATTTACGTCTATCCAGGGTTAGGAGTTGGTGGATTATATTAAAAAAGATAAACCTATCCTATTTTATTGAGAAAAAAATAAAAATAAAAAAAAACAACAACTTGTTTCATAAAAATACTCGTTGACAACTTACAAAGTCACAAAAGAGAGAGTTACCCAAAAACAAATACAAACAAGTTAGTTGGATAAAATAGGAAAGTCAAATAAAAGGGAAACCAAATTTTCCCTTTCTTTTCTTTTTCCTTCTATCCAAACTCCAAAAAAGTTTAAAATTTTTCTCTTTCCTTTCTTCTCTAGTTGATTCCACCTAACCAAACAAAGCCTTAGCATAATTAGCGTAGTTTATTAGAGCTGACTTTGTAAACTTAATACTTACCTTATATGTATAATATGTGTATAGTATATATACCTCCTTGTGAGAAGAATAAGAGTATCGTAAGATTTTTCGTGTCTTCCAGTTCCGTGTTTATATTATCCATGACGGAGGAAGTAAGAAGTAGAGTACGAGAAATAATGAAAGAAGACAAGAAGTCGAGAGAAAAAGTTACCTCCAAAGCTTGAGAAAAAACAAGAAGGGATGCAGCTTCTTTCCTTCAGCTAGCCCTTAAAAAGGCATGGCAAGGGCAACAACAATTTGAAATTTGTGGTGATGCATATATAGTGCTGCATAAAGCTGAAAATGCAGAAGTTCCTCTGCACATATCTTTGAAATTTATGAAGATGCATGTGCAGCGTAAAGCTGAGTACTTCCTCTGCCTGTATCTCAAGCAGAGCACTATCTTAGAAATACACAATATCAGCAATATCTCTTGTTTTGTCTCTTCTACAGCTTACTTTTTATTTGTATTAATTATATCACATGTACGTTGGGAATCTGAACAACAACCCAGATATTGTTTAATCGTGAGGAAGCATTCTGCCAAGCCTTAACGCACTGCCTGCCAGCCTTGCCTCGCTACCATGTGGCAGCGTTCTACTACTTGTTGATCCCTTCTTTCTTCTTTGATAAGGCACAAGGGGGTTTTGAACCCAGGACCCCCAACATACTAGTAAGGTTCTCCAACCAGATGAACTACATGAGCTCCTGTGTTTATATTCAGCAAATATTGTATATAATTAAGCTCTTGCTCTATTATTTGAATTAAATTGTCATCCATTAACTAACACGTGTATATATACACTTGCTTATTAATGAATTGCTTTTATGCTTGTATCACTTGTAAGATCGCTAACAAGATGTATTATTGTTGTGATATAGCAACAATTGTGTTATTTCTTTATATTATTCGCTGACTCGGAATATAGAAAACTGCGAGACGCGTAACACCTACATTCTCTAAGTTTGACATGCAAACACAAGAATAGGGGGTAACTGATACGGAGTCTTCACCGAGCAGGAAGTTTGACCGTCCCACTAAAGTCATGAAGTTGGACGGGTTCCAATAACTGAAGGATAAGGATAAAGAGTGGCTTCCCCATCCGTGTTGGAGAAGTAAAAAGCAATAACTCTCCTACTTGAATGCAACTAGGTACCTCTATAAAGAGGGGGTTTGGGTCAACTAAAGGAGGATGACACAAATCCCTAAAAAAGTCCTTTCCCCTTCCTTCCTTCCTTCCGATCTAGCACTGACTCGATCGTCAGAGGCTCTTAGGCCGGTACCACACCGGTGCCCTCCCGATCACCTTTCTCTCTCTCTCTTTTTTTTTTCCTTTCAGATTCGACATTGTTCCGGGTTGCCATGAAATCTTGCATCAACACCACCAATAAAAGAAACGAAGAGATTGTGATGACAAGAAAAAAGTGGGATGTTAATTCTGTCTCATCAAACATTATTTATATCTTGAGTACATAAATTACTTATATAAACTTCAGCATATAAATAAGAAACATAAAACATAACAGTATCCAACATTGGCCTCTTCTTTTAGCCAACCACAAGTTGACAACAAGAAGAAAAGCATATGGCTAACTATGGACTTGCATCCAATTCAAAATAGAAGCTCTCCCTGCTAATCAAGGTAAGCAACAAATATTTAAATGGCTCCCAAGGTTCAGAAACAAAACAACTTCTTAAAAAACTGACTTTTGAAAGATTTCGGACAATTCAAACGGTGTATCCTTCGTAAACAACTGTCAAATTGACTAATCATTCTTCACCACTATCCTAATTTGGAAAGTTGGACATTGCTTTTAGGAGCTCGATATTACTTGGGTGATACCTTCAACAAGACAAGACTCAATGGAGGTTGGAATTTGTGGTTCATAGATTGTGAAGGGACTTACATAGTAAAAGATATCTTTTACTTGCAGTGCTGTCATTAGTACTGTAGGAGAGGAATGGAAGAGCTTCCAAGGACCAGAAGCTGAGGTTGATGTAACAAGGGCACTACCTTCAATCTAGTGGCAATGAAAATTAATAAACAAAGGAAATGAATCTATAACAACATTCCAAAAATATTCATTTCTACTTAGATGCATTTAACATATTTCCTAGAAAATGCTTAAAATAATGTTCACCTAACCAAAATAACAAAATACTTAGGGAAGTATAAATGTATCGAACAAAACATAGGGTATATTACTTCACAACCCCATTATCTTACTGCAGATCAGATTTTCAATATGAAAAAGGTTATTTATAAGTTCAATTATAGTCCCATTTAAGATCATATTCAGTTAAATACTTGATGAAGTCAAGAGTGTCCAATTTGGTTTTTGTCACGACAAACTTTGGCTGTTTGCACAAACTTGATGCAAACGTATGGTGGGATTTCAACTGCAATTCTTTTACAAACTATATTCAACTCCAGTGTTATTCGAAACATGAATTATTGTGATACAACAAATGGAAAGAGACTATTTCACTTACTAATAGTCTAAATTGTGGAAATAACATACGGCACAGGAATGTGTTATGTACTTACTGGTAGTGGTATTCTTTGAATCAGGAGCTAAAAATTGAAATTCAATATCATTAAAGAATAAAATTTGTTCATTTACTTGTAAATTTATTGTACTGTAATATTGCACGTCAAATCATTGAATTCAGAAATTCCTATATGCATCTAGCTCAAGATGTGTTATTATGGCCATTTCTTCCAGTTTTTCTATCAAAATGAAAACAAAAACAAAAGGTGAAAACTTTTGGAACAGTAAATGTTCCTAAACAAAAGAGTTCAATTTCTTTGATAATACAGTTGGGTATTTCTGTGGCATCGATTTTACAAGTTCGTGAAGATGGATGGATAAGTGGAATGAGGGAGAGCGGCTCAATCAACAAAAGATAGGAGTTCCATGACAGGCATTTCAACGCATAATTGGCCGAGGTAATAGCCTTTCCGAGTAACCATGTTTCAAAATCTAAGCTAATTAATTTCTTCGGGAAGTTATTTAATTGTTATCAGCTGTTATACTTGATTAAGAAATAGACTTTAATCAAAAATATAATACAGAAACATCAAGAACTCAAGACAAGAAGATTTCGGGGATTAATAAATAAGAGTCTGGCAAAACAAACAATTTAAATAGTAAAATCTTGCTGGAGGTCATCTTCCTTATTCATGTCATGTTGGCTGGATAACAAACTCCATTACATTAGTATATGGACAAAAGAGCAATTATAAACAAGCAATTTTCCCAAAAATTACAGTGTAAAAGAGCAATTATAAATAAGCAATTTTCCCTAAAATTACAGTGTTAGCATGTGTGAAGTAAATAAATAAAGAATTATAGAAAATAAAAAAAGAAAAAAGAAAATTTGTGCCAACAAGAAGTGTGTATGAAAATATATCTAGAAGAGAGGATATTTATTTTATTTTAAAAATCCTCCAATCCTGACACTTTGATGCTTCATGAAGATTGAAAAACTTTTACCTCTAGGAAGGTCCAATATTCTACATTGAAGAAACTAAGAAATTCACATTTCATTTAACACCATAAAAACTTATAACTGGAACTATATGTTAAGCCAACAGGAAATGAAAGAATAGTCTTTTACCTGCAAATGAGTTAAGCCTGTCCAAGTGAAGTATGCATAGCCACTTGGGAATGTCAAGATTCAAGTGTATACCTGCAATATCCTGCATTTAAAAGATCAAAATCAGCAAAAACAAGCCATCAATTCAAGCTTGTTTCCCTAATCTATTTTGGGATAAGAAGAAGAAGAATATGCAATTAAAGTCACATGTCTCTGTGAAGTTATATAATCATGAGTAATTCTAGTATATTTATCAATTTTTATCTGCCAAAAGACTCTCAAATGTTGTGTAAATAGAAAAAATAGAGTGAGTGCAAGGTCCATTATATGCATCTGTAGGTTCCTTTGGAGGCAAATTGATTCTCAGAATAAGCCCTAGAAAATATAAAATCAAGAAGAACAGTATAACCACAAAATCAAAATGAGGATCTGAAGATCATTTATGCAAATATAATGGATAATAGATGGCTCGGCAATTTTTATGGTCTGAAGTCGCAATATGTTGAAAGTATCCAGATGAGATATTTGTGACAGTAATTGTGTTTCTACAGGAGGGAAAAAGGCTATTAAAGAAAGAACCCCGGAATCCAAGAATGAAAAATGTAATTTGTAACACGAAGGAACCTAAGCTCCATAAAAGATGGATCGAGGAAAATATAGTTATACAAGCGCAATTTAAAAAATGTCCCAATAGCGAATTGAGTGACTTCGGTGATTGAAAACAATAGACATTGTCTCACCCATAAACTTCCAAGGATTCGCTTTGCATGTCTCCAAAGAAAAGATAAACGTCCATACCACTTTCTGCATATGTGAATTATTGCTGCTTTAAAAGATTCCTTAGCAGATATAGGGAACCTGCTACTTGACTCCTCTTTATTGATTTTAAGGACAGCATCATCAACTGTTGACTTAGAGATTTCACTGCTGGTAGAAATTTCTGCCTGAGTTTCAAGTAGTTCATTATCAGTCTTCCAGATTTTTGGTGCCACTTTGCCCCTCCTAGCACCGGAACCAATCCAGTTCAACCAATACTTAGCAGCCAAAAATGTCGATCCATCTTCATCCACATTTTCCATTTTCAGATTTTCAGTTTCAATTTCGGTTTCTTTCTCAGGAGCATCTATCACAGTATATTCAGAATCGTTTTGTGACCACAAGCCAGCACTGGTAATCTACAACAAGAAAAAGGTTCACCAAAAAAGTACATAATAGGCCTCAATAGAAAAATAAAAATACCGGACTCTCAATAGAGAAGAGGGGATGAGATGTATGTTAGTCATATTCCCAAGTAATTATTATAATTGATGGATATTGATATTGTCACAGCCATAACTGCTTCGACCACAGCCAGCCACCATGGCTTTGAAGAAGCAATAGTGGCCATGGCAAGTGGTAACAGCCCTCCCTGATTAATAATCCACCATTACAAAAAAAATAAAAATTTAAATAAATAAATCTGATAATTCAAAATTTCCAACAACAAATTCCTAAATAAAAAGGTAATTACCCAGTCCTTAACCAATGGGCCTGGTGAAGGTATTCAAACCAAACATAATTATGCTAGTAACGGCAAGCGAACCGGGAAGAGCCCAGCTTGAAGTGTCTGCTGAAGGTATTCAAACCCACATAATTATGCTCAACAGCCAGAGCATTTTACGAGTGGGCAATGTAATGGCCCCTTAACAATAAATTCCTAAATAAAATTACAAAAATTTAACTTACAAATAACTCAAATAAAATCCTCCAATAAACATTCTACGCAAATAGAAATTTATTATCTTCATGGCAAACTATATTCTCGCTAGTATGATGCTCTTCATTGCTAGGTATTGTATATAGGAGTAATCTCGATGGCTCAGTGCAAAAATGAAATTCCCAGATCAGTTCACAATGGGTTTGAGAATAATGAATAACGTGTTTTAAAATAATGCAATTAATAAATGTGACTTTCTCATAAACAAGTAGTCATATTCAAACTACATAACAAAATTAATTTAACCAGTTTAACCATTTTGACTCAGAAAAGTATGCAACATACACCAACGGATTATCGGTCATTCTCATGGCAATCCGTTATCCCTAACTACGCTTCGCAACTTCTTAGACTTTCAAACGAGGGGCACACACCCAACTCATTTTCTATGGGTTTTACATGTACAATAGTACAAGGCTACAAGCACACAACAGAATAAACCATTCTTGCACAAACCACAACATACAATTCTTGTATCACTCATATGTTCTAATGCAATATTTCAATCTTCAAAGAGTAATAATCATAAACCCATGCATCATTATCACAGCAAATTATGTAAATTTTCAGAAATTTACTTATTTGAAAACATAAATAGGTTTGATCAAGCAAATAATGCAAGCAATAGGATTTTTCAACTTGTAAAGGAAAAGTACTCATGCTTCCATAAAACACACACAAATACCTTGAAGCAACATTTTTAAGAAAAGATATTCAAGCAATAAACTATAGAAGTCCATCAATAATGAAAGAATAAAGGGAACTAGATTTCCTACTTTGTTTCCCCATCAGACCTACAACTTGTGCACTAGTTGGGTCCTAAACTTAGGAATTTACCCAGTCTAAAGCACGATTATTAAATTCCTTAACTATTATTGTATGAGAAATTCTAGACAGAAATTAACGATTACCCAGTCTGCCAATTTCATCCTTGAGTATCTAATTCAATTTTTTTCTTTCTTTTATTTTTTCCCTTTTTTTTGGTTGTTGATAAGTAAAATTTTATAGAAGGCCCTCAAGAGGGGATTGCACCCAAGAAACAATACACAATGGCCCAAAAAACCATGAGTAACCCCTGGATCTTTTTCCCTTTTGCATTCCTTTTATGGTGTTACTATGTTTATGAATAACATTCAATAACTTAATAGGGCAGTTCATCAAAGAAACCCATGACAAGTAAAACAACCAAGTTATGGAACCCAATTTCATATCATAATAATGTAAACTAAGCTTGGGTCACTTACTAATGAATACCATCAGAAAATTGTCACAGAGCGCAATCAAAATATTATATAAGAACCCAATTTTAACACTTCGCTATAAATACATGAAATCACCTGCAAAAAGATAGTGGTGTTAAAACGTTACTTTAAACTTGCATCCAATGATTGATAGCACAAAGTAATACAACTTATTATATAGAAAGCAACGAGAAAATTGTAAGAAAAAAGAACTGAGGCTAAATTAACTATAAAAAAGAAAGAAAGAAAAAAATCACATACCTTGATCTGAATAAGTTGCGCTTCTGTTGTCTCAATTCCAGAAAGCTCACTTGAACAGCCAGGCTTCACATAAATATAATCAGCTTTAAAATGCATTTTCGTTGGAAATTTACAAGAATTAGCAATCCATGAGCAAGATGTTAAAATATATACCATATTTTGATGGTAAGTGTATTGGGTGCTTGTCTGTGTCTTAATGTAAGAGCTCCTCGAATCTTAAGATACAGGGAAATGTGTCCAAAGGTTGAATGCAGGTACGTAGACACGTACTACGCATTTAAATACATTATTTATTTTATCAAAGTGGAATGTTTAATATTGTTTCATAATTATTACTCTAATTAAATGGGATGTGGTAAAGGAACAGGGTTTCCATCTATCACATAGATGAGAAAGTTGTCTCTGGTATTAAATTTGAGTTTTTTTCCGTCTTCAATCATGCCATGTGAAGGACCGACATGTCCAATTTGGGTTCCTGTGTCAGATACATATCCTGTACTCATACCCATGCCGTGTCATGTCGACACAAGTACGTAAAGGAAATGGCAAAGACATAACTATGCCACGACCTTTCATCACGTTTCATTAATAACAATATGTGGTAAGTGATTATAGAAATAGCAGTTACAATAACACTAGTAACTAAATGCCTCGTGAATGTGGTACGTAACTGGATGCTGATCCTATGTCTTTGAATCTCAGAAGCAAAGCAAAGGTTATGTTCAACAAGCTCAATTCTGCGGCTGCAACTGAAGATTTCTTTTTGCATCAAAATTCTAGAGTTCAGTGGTTAGAGTTTGGGTGGCCAAACAGATCCTTTTTCTTTTTCTTTTTCTTTTAATGTTTAAAACTCATAATTATCGGAGAGCTTATAATAGAATCTTGAGCTGCTTGAGCCTCAACAAAGAAGATGGTTCTGTCATGAGAACATTAAGGATATCAAGATGAAGTGGTCCTATACTTTCAGAATTTGCTGACCCATTCATATCAGCATCCCATTGATCAGTATTTGTTGCAGAACCATGTCTCTAAGGTGCTATCCAATCATCAAGCTAACTGGTTAGATGGGGTGATATAACCTGCTCAAAGTAAAGACTGCATGTTCTCTCTCAAGGAAAACAAAGCCCCAGGCACAAGGCCCAGATGGTTTCACTGCCGCCTCCAAAAATTTGGGACATCATTGGTGCTGATTTCGTCGAAGCAACTAAAACTAGCTTTCCTGCCAGATGCCTGCTAAGGGAAGTCCACTCTACCACCATTACTCTCACCAATAAGCTCCCAAACTATATAGCTGACTATAGAACTATTAGTTGCTGAAACACCTTATATAAATGTATGGCTACAATTCTAACTAATAGAATCAAAGCTGTCATTGGTTCATGTGTTTCTCTAACCAAAATGCCTCCTTTCCTGGGAAGATAATTTCTGAGAATATAACTTCTCACCTAAGAATTGATGAGAAATTATCATAATCCTAAGAAACCCCAAAGTTGTGCAATTAAAGTGGACATCAAGAAAGCATTTGATACTGTGAGGTGGGGCTTCATTATGTCAACTCCCTCAGCAATGAAGTCCCCTCCTTCTCTTATCCAGGTCAAAATGTGGATCTCCTCTCTCTTTTTCCGTTTGTGCCATTCAAGAGCTCTAGGGGACAAAGGCGGGAGACCCACTTTCTCCTCATCTGTGTCTTGGGTATGGATTTTCTCACTGGTCTCTTGAATCATCTCCTCTTAGAGGCTCCTCTCTTCCATTGGAGATTTTCAGAATTAGGTACCACTCACTCAGCTTTGCAGAAAATTTGATCAACTTCTCTTCTGCTTCTGTTCAGGCCAAGGCAGCCATCAACAAAGCTCTGAACAGCTGTTATGTTATGTCTCGGGTCCATCCAAACAAAGATGGAAGCATCGTCTATTTATATGGGGTGGAAGATACTGATAAAAGAAACATTATTGACTAGATTATATTTAAAAAAGGCTCCCTCCCAGTGACAAAGCTGGCAGTTCCTCTTATTTATACCGGGTTGAAAATTACAGATTCCAAAGACGTACAAAGAAGCTGACAGACAGTTCAAAAATGGATTACTAACTCTCTTTCTTATGCTAGGAGGCTTCAGATGATTAATTTTGTTCTATCATCCATATAGATCCACGTGTCTTCCATTTTTGTTCTTCCCAAGCAGATTCTCTACACTATCCAACAAACTCACACTACATGCTACTGCTTACCGCATCTCAATAGAAAGAATAGAATCTTTCATCCGAATGAGATCAGAAATACTGTTACTGTTCAGATTGAGATTCACAATCTCAAACACTCTTGATCCAACAAATGGATAAAAAGACTTTGGATGCTCCCTTCATTTGTTCCCAGATACGAGGTTGCTGCAGTTTTGGAGGTGTGATTGGCTTTTGGTGTTGTTCCTTTTCTTGAAGTATGTTGTTTTCAATATTCGGGCTGTGCTTTTTGCTCACCCCCCTTCCTTTTGCTATTTTGATTGGTATGCCCCGCTCACAACCTGTTCATTTGTTTATTGTTCTATACATCTGCTTACTTACCAAAAAAATATTTTGCGTATTTCCATGGTATCCTTGTGTTATATATGCATACTATATATACATATATATTATATAATTTCCATCAATAAGGAGCGGGTACTGTATCGAGTTAATAAGATGTAGGTCCTAATGGATTTTAGGGCTGCATATGAATTGAGTCGAGCCATGTTAGGATTTTGGCTAACCAAGGTCTGAGAGGTGTTAGGCTCCACTCATTTTCGGATGATCTTTACCTAGCAAAGCAAGAGCTCAGCCTGGCATCATTCAGTCAAGCTCAAACTTGTTTTCTTTTCTTTCATTTTTTTCCTCCCTTGCATATTTTTGTTCCAATGTCAATCAATCCATAACAAAAATCAATCCCATCGAAGTTCCTTGCTTCCGTAATTTTCAATTTTTTCTTCCCAAAAATATATTTTAACCACTTTTAATATATATTTTTTTTTGATAAGTAACCACTTTTAATATTCAAAGTACCTTTGTCATGGCTGGGTAATCTATCTATCTATCTATCTAATAAATTAACCAACCTTAATTTCTATGTCCACTAAGGTCTTTTTTACCTTTTCCTAACATGTGATAGAGTTTGATGAATACCTCGTGTCAATCTTCCGTATAGCACTGTCTTCAATCTTCACACATGACAATTTTATTCAACTACAACCAAATTTTGTTTAGGAATTTGGCACTGAAAATTTACTTTCCTACACTACGACCATTATAATCCAAAGCCCCTTAATGCTATGTTTGGTTGAAAGGAAGGATTGAGCAAGGGTGGAAGAGAGGATAGATAGAAGAAGCTCCCCTCATTTGGTTGTAAGGAAGGGAAGAGAGGGATGAAGCACCCCTCCTAACCCATTTTTTTTATCCGTCCAAAATTGGACAGAAGAGAGGAAGGAAATAAAGAAAAATTACCCTATAAATATGTAATATGAAATTTAGCCTTCAATTATTTATAAATATGGAATGAATATTTACTTTTTATAAGTTAAAATAATAAGGATATACTTACATAAAAATATAAAGCCTCTTCTTCGCTTCCTTCCAACCAAACAAAAAAAATGTTGTCACCCCATCCATTCTTTCTACTATCCCCACTATTCAACCAAATAAAAAGTGAGGGAGAAACCTCCTCTTTCCTAGGGATGCCTCATCTATCCCTCCCTTTCTCACTTCCATCCATTTTCCCATCCCTCCAACCAAACAGAGCACAAAGATGGCTTTTACATCTTGGATGATAGCATTAGGGAGGATCGTGACTATTGAAAGAGGCGGCAGATTATTTTTTTGATAAGTAAGACTGTATTAAAGAGGCATTCAAAAGGAGAATGCATCCCTCAAAAGCTACACAATGCCAAAAAGGGCCTCTAAACTCTCAAAGAGTCCAAAACATCAACAATCTCCTCCACGGATTTCCCGTTTCTCTCCAGAACCCAACAAAAAAGAGTATGACAATGGAGGAATTTAGTGTACCAATAGGAATCTCCTTTCCTTCAAAGGATCCCCTATTTCTTTCAAGCCATAAACACCACCAAACACACAAAGGTGTGACCCTCTAGAATTCAAGAACTTGGCCCCCACTATACATCCTCTCCAAGCCTCTGGAGGACCTGGGCATAACCCACTAAACCCCAAACAAAACCCAACAGTCCTGAGGCACTGGGCAGTGCAAAAGAAGGTGATCGACCGTTTCTTCATCTCTCTTGCACATGCAACAACAGTTGACCACAACATGTCCCCTACTCTTGGTTATCCATGCAAAGAAAGCAACCTTAGGGGGGTGGGGGTTTCCACGGGAAAGGATCCCCTAGGGGCATCCATAAGACACCTAAAGAGAGACCGAACCTCGAAATGACCCTGGGAAAAGGGAACCCACAGTCCCACACCCAAGAGTCCAAACTTCCTCCCCCAATCTCCTGCCAATACAGCAACTCCAAAAAAGCAATGGTATCCTCGATCTCCCAATCCTGAAAAAGCCTCGATAAACGCACATCCCAGGACGTTCTCCTGCTATCAGCCGATAGCACTCAACCACCAAGGCATGTCTATCCGTAGCAATCCCAAAGAGTCTGGGAAAAGTGAGAGAGAGAGAACGATCGCCATACCAAATGTCCTCCCAAAAATGGATTCCCCTACCATTCCTAACTCGAAATCTAATGTGTTTAGATATTTCATCTCACTCCTTCAGAATGAATTTCCAAACCCCAATTGGGAGTCTCACCTCAAAAGAGCACCATCCTCCTCTCGCCTCCCCAAATCTGCTCGCAATCACCCTCCTCCATAGTTTGTGCCTCTCCACCCCAAATCTTCATAACCATTTACCCAAAACGGTCTTATTGAAAGGCACAAGTTTTCTAATACCCAAACCACCCTTCTGGATCGGATTACAAACATGCTCCCAATGAACTAGATGATCCTTGAACTCCTCCCCCAAGAGTTCCGTTGTAGCCTCTCAATCCTCTCAGCCACAAAAGATGGAATCTAGAAAAGAGAAAGGAAATAAGTAGGAAGGCTCAACAAGTGCTCTTCATCAAAGTGACCCTCCCACCTTTCGAAAGATACTGCTTCTTCCATCCAGCCAACCTCTTCTCAAACCTCTCCACCATTGGATCCCAACTTCCCACTCTCCTTGACGGCATCCCATGAGCAATCCCAAATAAAAAATGGGAAAAGAGCCAATATTGCACCCAAGAATGTTAACTAAAGTGGAAATTTTCAAAATCTCCCCAACCGGAACCATAACACTCTTTCCCACGTTCACCTTTAAGCCAGAGATGACTTGAAACAAAATCAAACGCACCTCATACATTAAATCTCCATAAACATTTCCCTAAAAGGGCCTTATTGAAAATCACCCCAAACCTCCTAGTCGAGTCGGATTGCAAACCTGCCCCCAGCGAACCAGATGAAACTTGAACTCCTCCTTTATTCCACCCCAAAGGAAGTTCTATTGAAGCCTCTCAATCCTCTCGGCCCCGGAAGAGGAATCTAAGAGAGAAAGAGGAAATAAGTAGGAAGGCTCGATAAAGTACTCTTCAACAATGAACCCTCCCACCTTTCCAAAGATACTACTTTTTCCAACCAGCCAACCTCCTTAATAGTGCACCAAGAGGTAACCCCAAATAGGAAATGGGAAAAGAGCCAATACCGTACCCAAGAATAAATTGGAAATTTCTGGAACCTCCCTAACTGGAACCATAACCCTCTTTCCCATGTTCACCTTCAAGCCAGAGAGTAATCAAAATGCACCTCAAATATCTGACCTGAGACATTTCCGCATTGCAGAAAACCAAGGTGTCATAAGCAAACATGAGAGATCTCCAGCTAAGAAACCACATTGCTACCCACCTGGCATATTATATTTAACTGATGTTATGCGCGCAAAATGGACGAGGATTAGGGGAATCATCTTCTTTCATTTTTTTTTTTTTTTTTTTTTTATAAGTATCTTCTTTCATTGTTCGATGGCGAAGGATGTTTGGGTTATTTTTTTGCTATATTTTCATGTTCATTGGTTTTACGGGTTCCAAACTGGGTATGATTAAAGCTTGGAGAGATTGTACAGTGGGTGGACAAGCCCGAGATGCTTAGAGTGAAACCCCCTTTGTTTGTGGTGGAGTTCATGGCGAGAGAGGAATAGGAGTCCTTTGATGGGGAGGAGACTCCTATGGGTGCTTGAGGATACCAAAAACGGCTCGGGTCGGGTACAGCCCACATGATGAGCAATAGGCCCGATAATTGGCCTAGATCTGAACCAGGCTCTCAACAAGACAGGCCCGAAACTAAAGAAGCAGCTGAGGATCCACTAAACGTAATGAGGCCCGTAGCTCGAGAAGCCCAAGAGGAGGCCCAACACCGGGAGTTAGGTGGGAAGCTTCTAGAAGGTATGTAACAGTTTATAAATAGGTAGAAAATAGAGGGAAAGGGGGATCGAAAACTCTTTGAAGTGCATAGTTACTCTGTCAAAATAGAGAGAGGAATTTCTTGCATCTTCAGTGCTAAAACACTCCATCTTAAATTCTCTATTTTTTTTGGGTGCTAAGACACGCCATCATAGGATCAGTGGATCACAATCCACGACGCAATAAACGAATTCTTAAACATAAGTTACACAACTATATGAGGATTGTCCGATCATGGCAGGATAAACGCACTATGTTGAATCTTTACTATGGTAGTGACACTCGGTCCTCAGCTCTCATATAGACAAGTCGCTTATACCGAGTGCATCTTTACTATAGTAGCGCCACTTGGTCCTCAGCTCTCATATAGGCAAGTCACTTATAAATACCGATAACGAGTGCTATGACGGGCCAAGGTAAGCCATCACCACCTAATAATCCATTACTTGTTTGCTCTCCATCTTCTCTCATGCCAACTGAAGCATCAGTGTTCACTTGGCCAGTACCACACTGGTTCCAAGGATCTCCTCTGAGAAGCATCTATGAGAGCAAAAGAATCACATGACAGTGGAGTCGAGATTTTTCCTTTCCTCCACAAGCCCATGCCTCAAAAACTTGTGTAAGAGTATTTATCAAGCACATCTGCTCATTACCCATTCTGTCTAGTATTCCTGACTGTTAACTCTTGACTCTTCAGAGTCTTGACATGATCACATTAACTACATAATGATTTAGCCAAATTTTGTAATTACCAAAATAAATAAATAAACCCCTTCAACCCCAATTTGTGATTATAATTTATTCACACATAACATGTCAAGCTGCAGATAAATTCCTTTTCTGAGTATGTCGTGTGCAATTGCTGCCCTTAACCAATGAGTGAAATGTTACTAAAAGATTCATATATATATATATATATATATATATATATGAAAGGGAACTAACGGAAGAAGATTTTAATCCAAAAGAAAAGAGGTGTAGAGATACCTGTTGAACGTAATTGGCGTGCATGACGACCAGAATACAGAACAAAGTGATTGCTACAAAGAGAAACAAATACTCCAGAGAAGCCCTTATTCTCGGCGTCAGCATCTGCGAGAACCGTTCTTGTACTCGGATGAACGTCTGCTCTGGATCCATCTCTAGGGTTCTCTCTCTCTCTAGGGTTTACTGTGTGTATACATATGCGTGTGTAATTTTATTCTAATTGAGAGCCATGCAGGTAGTATTTCACAGATGCCTTTTGTTCGGGACACTGTTGGATGATCGTTGCAGGAATTCAAAGCTAATGAAGAAGCATTACAAGCTGTGTACAATCAATATGAGATTGAAGAAGATTGATTATTGGGTGACTCAACCGGTCATGAAATTCCACGCTCCCAGATAATCAAGCAAACACGTGCGATCTAAACCCGCGTGTCTTTGTTTTTTGTTTTTTTTTGTTTTTTTTATCCTTCTTAGTTCTGTCTTGTATTGCCGTCTAAAAAATTATTAAGGCAAAAAAAGTATAAAACCCCTTCAACAATAAATAAAAAAAAAAAAAAAAAAATTAACATTTTACTCTTTTGTATTACAAAATCGAGCAAGCCAGTACCAAAATTATCATAAACATGCAATTTGTCCCCTGCGAGTCACTTCCAGCACATTTTCGGACAACGTCTACATTTACAAAAATGTCCATTATAATTAATGATGAGGATAAAAATAATAGGTAACTCAAAGTCAAAATAAGATAAGGGTAAGAGATTTATCCTCCCCAAAATCTCTATGGAATTATAAAATCTCTTTGGTTACTATGTGCAACGACAGTTACCATTCCTGTAAAAAGGAAACGATATCATCTTGAATCCGGGAGAATCTCGCTTCAACAACTACTACCATCAATGCTTCTATAAAAGAAATGATCAGTCAACCTAAAAAGGTACGCCATAAATTTTATATGTAATTCTTATCGGATATTAGATCGTCAAGTACTAACTTGACCGTCTGAGTGCACCCAGCCGGCACCACGCCGGTTATCACTTCTCTTGTTTTGCAGGAATCGCCACCGACTCCGGAACGTGTAGATTTTTGGCATCAACAGTTGGCGCCATCTGTGGGAACGTGTATTAGTCCCAACAAATCATGGTTCGTACAAGGGAAATCTACGACAATGCTTAAAAGCAATTCAATCCCTTTACAATCTGGCCGTCTCTAAAAGAAAGAGAACAGTTCATGGATTGCATGGCCAAAAGTAAGGGTACAATTGCTCAATCCGGTAAAATTGTTGGAAAGCCCAACCCGACCGCTGGCAGTTGTTTCATCATCGCTTTTAACCGGGTAAGTTTTATGCATTACGTGTATATCGAAATATATGTCTACACTTCCTCACTCGATTTAAAGAGAAACAATTTTTTTACGTATTTCCAATTGTCTGCAAAATATTGTTCACCTACATAATGATGTAGTTCACCTAGGGACCTTTGCTAGAATACTACACTTTGTGGATCCATTGTAATTAGGATCCCTACAACAACTATATGCTATGAGTAATATTAATCATATCAAATAAATAATTATAATATTTCATTCACCAATAAATTCCAACAATTATAATTAAAGTGCTGGAAATTTTGTCAATTAATGAGTTGCATATTTTTTAAAGTTCCTAAAAAAATAAATAAATTAATTAATTAATTAATTAAATTGCGAGTACTGTTCACATGAATAGTACCCGCGGGGGTACTGTTCACAAGGTGGAAAAAAATTGTGAATACTGTTCACAAGAATAGTACTCGCCCGGGGAGGACTATTCACAGGTTAAAAAAATTATTATTTTGAGTACTGTTCACATGAATAGTACCCGCGAGAATAGTACCCCCGCGGGTACTGTTCACAGGGTAAAAAAAAAAAATAATTACTGTTCAATGAACAGTAACCAGTGGTACTGTTCCCTCGGGAATAGTGCCAGGGGCAAAAAAAAAAAAAAAAAAAGTGACTGCAATTCTGACATAGAAACTTTGCAAAGGGCCTTAGCAAAAGCTACAATTGCCTCACTGTTTAACCTTTGCTATGTTATTGCAACTTTATTTTAAATTCTCTAAACTCATACTTTGTTTGTATGAGTAGTCATAAAATTAAAAAAAAAAAAAAAAAAAAAAGAAGAAGCAGGATTACACTTTCTTATTTTAGAGAACAATTGCTAGCTTCATGGATGATTTTGGTCCTACGATGCTCAATGATAAGTTTTTGCCTTAATTGTACCAATTCTGATATATATATATATATATATATATATATATATATATATATATATATATATATATTATCCGTTCAAACTGTACATCTGTTCCTTTATTTTTACTTTGCTAACCTTGCAAATAGAAAGAGAACATTAGTGTTCTTTGCGCGTGAGAGGCAATCTTAGGAATGGAGGCAAAAAATTAACCTCTCTTATTAAAGATACAAGCTCACGAAGTATCAAATAGATAAGCTCATGCAACTATAGAAAATTAGTCTCTCTTATTAAAAAGATGAGGTGACGAAACTCACGAGGATGAACCTCCCGTATTAAAAGGATAAGTTCATGAAACTCGTAATTGCCATTCCCCGTATTATAAGGGATTGATATAAAAGTGCCTTTACTGTAAGGGCCCAAGCTGAATGAAGCTCGTAATTGTTGTCCTCCGTATTAAAAGGGGTCGAAATCAACTTGTAAAATATACTTCCCTTTTTAAAGGGCGAACTGAGTGAAACTCGTAAAATATATTTTCCTTTTTAAAGGGCAAGTTGAATGAAACTCGTAATTGTCATTCCCCGTATTAGAAGGGATTGATATAAAAGTGCCCCGTACTATAAGGGCCCGAGCTGAGTTAACTTGTAAAATATACTTCCCTTTTTTAAGGGCGAGCTGAGTGAAGCTCGTAAAATATATTTTCCTTTCTAAAGGGCGAGTTGAATAAAACTCGTAATTGCCATTCCCCGTATTATAAGGGATTGATATAAAAGTGCCCCGTATTATAAGGGTCCGAGCTGAATGAAACTCGTAATTGTTGTTCTCCATATTAAAAAGGGTCGAAATCAACTTGTAAAACATACTTCCCTTTTTAAAGGGCAAGCTGAGTGAAGCTCGTAAAATATATTTTCCTTTTAAGGGACGAGCTGAGTAAACCTCGTAAATATACTTCCCTTTTTAAAAGGTAAGCTCATTCAGCTTAAGAAAGCCTACTCCCTCAGTTCATGAAGTTCGGGCAAATCTGTTTTCTTATTAAAGGAGTAAGAAAGGTCAACCAAAAAGAGGTCGCCCAACAAGGGTTAACCTAAAAAGAGAATGATTTCTGCTAAAGAGATGTCGGTCAAAAAACACTTTCACATTCTTGATGCTTGACAAGCAAGCACGAGAATGGGGGGCAACTAATGAGGATAAAAATAATAGGTAACTCAAAGTCAAAATAAGATAAGGGTAAGGGATTTATCCTCCCCAAAATCTCTATGGAATTATAAAATCTCTTTGGTTACCATGTGTAACGACAATTACCATTCCTGTAAGAAGGAAACGATATCATCTTGGATTAGGAAGAATCTCGCTTCAACAACTACTACCATCAATGCTTCTATAAAAGAAATGATCAGTCAACCTAAAAAGGTACGCAATAAATTTTATATGTAATCCTTATCGGATATTAGATCGTCAAGTACTAACTTGACCGTCGGAGTGCACCCGGCCGGCACCACGCCGGTCATCACTTCTCTTGTTTTGCAGGAATCGCCACCGACTCCGGAACGTGTAGATTTTTGGCATCAACAATTAACATTTTAAAAAGACAAATAAAACTAAATTTGTAAAATACCCTTAATTCCCCTCATGCTATATACCTCTTATGTTATTAAAATGTCTAAGTGTTTTAGTTGAGAGGCATTTGATGCTTAGAGAGCAGAAGAGGCAAGGTCGTGAGGGAATTTTTTGACAGTGTTGAATATTAAAAATTTGGGTCTTTGGCAATTAATCGTGGAAGAAGGACATTGCTAGTACAACCTATTATAAAGAAGGAGGACATTGCTAATACAACCTACTATAAAGAATCATAAGTGTGCTTACTATACCAAAACTTGATTTTACTTTAAAAAATCGTCACTTTATGTATTATTTTGATGTTTTTGTTTGGTAGGGTTATTAAATAGTATGTTCGAATCAATTTCTAGGATTTTTTTACTTTTGTGTATAAATATTTTTGTACTATGTGAGCACTGAGATTTTGGCATGAATGTGCAATTTTTATCTTTTGATTGTTGGTATGGTTTTTAAATAGTAACGTCATCTTCATTTCAATCTATTCTGAGTAGTTTTTTTTACTTTTTAAAACTCTGTGAGCATAATATTTCAAATACCGGCATGCATGTGCAATTTTTTGTGTATATAATATACATGGGTAATTTTATATGAATTCTTTTAGCCTTCAATGGTTTGGTATAGACATAAACACTGCATGTATGTCCATTACACTGTGTTAGACCCCACTATCTATTGTTGTGGTGTGCTTTTGGGGTTTGTTTCTTGCTTTTGGTTAATGTATTATAGTTGTTGTCACTGTCCTGTGGTATAGACATAAGGACTGCCTAGACTATTATTAGGTCGTTGTCTTGTGTTTTTTGTTGACCCCACCATGATCTCTTTCAATTATTAGTTGCCATTAATTTGAATTGTTATGGTTAAAAAAAAATTTGACAGATAATGCACAAGTTTGTTAATCTAGAAATTCACTCTAAATGATCTTTTCAGTGCACATCCCTTAAGAGTTCTACAGATAGCACTGTGACTTTGATTCATAATGTAAATCTTGATTTCTTAAATGCATTTGATCTCAATCGTGTGGTGAAGAAAAGAATCTTGGGTATGATGAAAGGAGTGAATTATATTATAGGAATCCAATGGTGGCCAGTGATAAAAGGGATTAAACAAATATAAAAAGATGGAGATGTATTGTACTGCATTAATTATCATCCGAGGTTTGGTTTAATTAAAATATTTATTATTTCACCTAATACTTCAATGGTTGATGATGTTGAGTATGTGGAGGAGGAAGCAAACAATGAAGACTGGAAAGATGAAATCCTAGAATAGGCTACTGAGGTGGCAAATGGTAATGTTGAGCTACCGATAAACAATGATGAGGTGGAACAATTGGCTGCTAAGGGATTACATGTGATACAAAACTTGTTATTTTATACTCACTAATAAATGATTAATTAATATTTTTTTATTAAATAAATGTTCTTATCCCTGCTTTTCATGTTTTACAAGGGCTGATTTCGAAATGAGAAGAAAATAGGCAAAAATAGAAAAAATATGATTACACAGTCAGTCAAAGTCAAATTCAAATTCAAATTTGGATTTTTGCATCAAATCATCATTTCAAGTCAAATTGGAA